TTCTCTATATTCTCTATAAGTGTGGAAAATTTCATACTCCTCCGTCCGCGCAATTTTCGTAAAAAGGGATACAAAGTTTTTGCTTCACGTATTAATATATTTGATAATATTTTCGGATCGTTCTTATTTATTTATTTTTATTTATGTACACACAAAAAAGAAGACATAGTACAGAGTAATAGGAAAATTATGTAAAAAGGCACTGCTTATTTCTTTAAGAAATCTCATCCAGCAGACCCGCGAGAGGATTATGAGAATAATAATTAAAAGTGATGAGTGTGTGTAGCACAGCTAAAATAACAAATACAATATGAGAATTATAGTAATGCACATACACATAGTAAATATTGTTAAACTTTAATACAAAATTCTTCTTCGTTCATATTACGATTATACAATCAAAATCGATGATGATTGTCTGGAAATTACTTCAATTTCATATAAAATTTATAAATACTCGTATTTCATACGGAAATCGCGTATCGCAGACATAATTAACACTGTTTTTACGATTTCTACCGGTCACCGTTCTCGTCGAACCCGTCGCTTGCGACGAAGGGCTCGACGAGTAAATTAACTCTCAGACACAGCCCACTGAGTTTCTCGCCGGATCTTCTCAGTGGGTCGCGTTTCCGATCCGGTGGTAGATTCTGCGAAGCACGACTCTTGCTAGGGTTCGTGTTAGCAACATCGTCAGGTTTGAGCCCCGTGAGCTCACCTACTAAAGTTAGGGTTACGCTGAAATAGCCGCTAGGGCTATCAGCTTAGGTAGGAAAAAAAAAAAAAAAAAAAACGATTTTATTTTTTATTTTTTTATCTATATCTATACTAATATTATAAAGAGGAAAGATTTGTTTGTTTGTTTGTTTCGAATAGGCTCCGAAACTACTGGACCGATTTGAAAAATTATTTTTCCATTAGAAGCCGACATTGTCCCTGATGAACATAGGCTACTTTTTAAATTTTTTTTTTTTTTTGGTTTCATGTGTGTTTTAATGTTTCCGAAGCGAAGCGAGGGCGGGTCGCTAGTTTACTATAAATTATTATCCACATTTCGAAGGCAGAAGTTATTTGTCGACTTTTAGTCAGCATATTCCACAAATTTAGTCCACACATTCAAAGGTATAAATCGTAAAATTTGTTTTCACTATAAGTTTATTTATAAAATTTTTGCATATATGGTGAGTTTGAGTATGATTTTTTTAATCTTTTAGTGAGTTCAATCACTAACTGAGAATTTAGGATTGATGTAAAGGACGGATATCATTTAAATGTAAAAAATAATGGTTCGGATCATTCACCAAATTTTAAAATTATATTTGAATAATAATGTTTTTTATTTATTTATACCGTTTACGAGTGAATTCCTTAAAATATGCAAATTAAAATGAACATAACATCTATTTTCCTATAGTAAAACTAATTCATTTATCGAGAAATGAAAACGAATATTCAATCTTTAATGTTATTCTAATCAAATTTATGTTCTAATGTATGTCCAAACATGTTTTATCCCAAGTCGTTGATTTCTCCGAGACTAGATTAATATGGCTTTATAATAAGTGTTTATTAATAAAATTATGAACCATATATCTCTAAAATCTCTATCACGCATTAAAAATACCTATATCGTTGTCAGAACCTTTTCTAGTTAATTCCTAGAATTTAATTACCTTTATGAACAGCAAATCCAGTGAGCACATACGTCACAATCACTTTCAATAAAACATACACTTCCAATATACACTCAGCACTTATATTAAACAATCACTGAAAACCGTTTGGTTTTACATCACGAATCGTCCGCGTATGGAATTCTTTCGATAATTTGGGCAGCAGTTTAACAACCCCGTTCCCGACGGACGCCAAAGGCCGACTGACGCGCGGCGTAAGCCGAGATGCGATCTGTTTCATAGATTATAATAAAAAACAGAACGCTCGCTACTGCATACATACTTATTACGTTGATTTTTTTACTTCTTACAATATTGATTTCCGAATAAAATGCAACTTGAACAACAAGAGACTAGTTTAGCTATTGTTGAATGATTTCAACTGACATTTGTTTTGTATGTTCAAACAAGTAGAAATCAAGAATTTTAACACGATTTCATTGAAATTAAACAAAGACTGTGATTTTTAATGGAACAATATATTTTTTTTGTTTTCCCTGCCTATTTGCTGGTAGGGGGCTATCCAGATACGCTAGCATGAGTAGGTTTGCTGACGAGCTTAACCTGTGAGAATTTGCTAACACTAGCCCTAGCAAGAGCAGTGGTTCTCAGAATCTACCACAGGATCGGAATAGCGACTCATTGAGAAGATCCGGTGAGAAACTCTGTTTATGGAAGGAACAATACAATAAATAGCACTTTCGATTTGTTTTAATGATAATTATATTTCATGTGCTTTACTACATTGATCTATCAATTACTTTTACCGAATTAGACGATTAAAACGATATAATTAAATTATTTTTAAATCATTGAGTTTTATTTCAACATCGTATTCTGAAATTATTACTATTTTTTTATTTATTGCTTAGATGGGTGGACGAGCTCACAGCCCACCTGGTCTTAAGTGGTTACTGGAGCCTATAGCCATTTACCACGTAAATGCGCCACCCAACTTGAGATATATAAGTTCTAAGGTCTCAGTATAGTTACAACGGCTGCCCCACTCTTCAAACCGAAACGCATTACCGCTTCACTGCAGAAATAGGCAGGGTGGTGGTACTTAACCGCGCGGACTCTCAAGAGGTCCTACCACCAGTAATGATGCAAATTATAATTTCGATTCGTTTTGGTGATAATTATATTTCATGTGCTTTATTTACCACATTTATCTATCAACTACTTTTGCCGTATTAGCCGAATTAAAACGATGCAATAATATTATTTTAATAATCATTCAACTTTATTTCAACACTAGCGACCCGCCCTCGCTTCGCTTCGGAAACATTAAATCACACATGAAATCAAAATAAAAATTTAAATTTTTTTTTAAAAAAGTAGCCTATGTTCATCAGGGACAATGTCGGCTTCTAATGGAAAAAGAATTTTTCAAATCGATCCAGTAGTTTCGGAGCCTATTCGAAACAAACAAACAAACAAATCTTTCCTCTTTATAATATTAGTATAGATATAGATATAGATTATATTTCATGTACTTTATTTACCACATTTATCTATCAACTACTTTTGTCGAATTAGCCGAATTAAAACGATGCAATAATATTATTTTAATAATCATTCAACTTTATTTCAACATATTATTCTGAAAATTTTCAATATTAATTATAAGTAATACGAGAATCATTCGCTATCGACAAGTCCACAATATCGATATTCGAACTTATCTTTTTCAATAATATCGAGTTATTTGTTTCGATGACTTCCGGAAGTGTTTGTTTATTGAATCTCCAACAGGGATATAGATACAACGGCCCTTGTACTTTTGGTCAGGCTAAAGATATCTCATTATAATTTTGTTTGGGTGTTCTTCTATTTATTAAAAGGTACACATTTGACCAACGATTTACAGTAAAGAGTGCATGTTTATTTAGCATTCCATTGACGAGTTTGGATTTTATCATAACCATACGGTAGATTCACTTTATAATACATTGCTGTACATTGCTTCATGTATTAAATACTACTTATTAATAAACAGAGAGATCGTATAAAATAGTTTTAATATTGTTATAATATCATAACAAAAATTTACGGTGCATGTTTTGATTGATTTTAAGATTTTGAGTTTGAAGTTGTCATGGCCTAAAGGATAAGACGCTCGGTACATTCGTATCGAGCGATTCTACCATCTTGGTGTTCGAATCCCGCAAACAGGTGTACCAAATTTTTGTAATCAAACAAATTTTTCTCGATTGACTTCCACGGCGAAGGAATAGCATCGTATAATAATATATAAATCGAACCTGCAAATAGTACAATTTGTGTAATTGCTAATGTTAGCAGTAACGCGTTTCGGTTTGATGGGTGGGGCGGCGGTTGTACCGTAAAAACGGAGACTTAGAATATGAGGGTCTGTCTCAATATGGGTGGCGGCAATTATGTTGTTGATGCCTATGGGCATCCATTACGGCACTCATCTTGAAAGTTCTAAATCTCAGGTTGATAGTGCATCAGCTGCCCACTGCTCACCTTTCAAACTGAAATGCATTACGGCTTCGCGGCAGAAATAGGTAGGGTGGTGGTACCTACCCGTGCAAGACCCTTTACCACCCGTAATAACGCAAATTATTTCTTGTTTTTGGCCTTCGAGCATACGGCTCATCTGATAGGACATACAAATTTTTCAACACACAAATTTTCTGCTACCATTTAGTCTTTAATTTATTGTAATCTGTTCATGGAACATGTAGTACCTACCTACTCCATTTCAATATTCATTTACATAAATTCACTAAAAATTATTACATTCCGTAAATAAAATTCGACTAGCAGAATGAAATGCCTAAGGTCGAAGTCCGCGTGTAAGCGATTACGGAATCGTGTAGGTAGCTCACTATCCAATTCATTTCACTTTGACGTTAACACTTTGACGTCGACAGAGACGGATTAATGCAGAGAGAAAGAGAGAAATATATTTTTGAAATGTCAATTTGTAACACTATATACCACACTGAAATAATTACAAGCTTTTTGTTAAAAAAAATTTATTGCTTAGATGGGTGGACGAGCTTACAGCCCACTTGATGTTAAGTGATTACCGGAGCCCATAGACATATACAACGTAAATGCCGCCACTTACCTTGCAATATAAGTTCTAAAGTCTCAGTTTTTACAGTACAACGGCTGCCCCACCCTTCAAACCGAAACGCATTACTGCTTCACGGCAGAAAGATAATTTTTGCGGGTTTAATATGGTTAATTTAATTTAAATTATTAAGTATCGCATTATCTGTGTAGCTTATGTTCTCCTGGAAGATATTTTTTTAATGAGTAACACACGGCTTTGCAGAGGACTTTTATATAGTGCTTTGAGGAATTGTTCGAGATGATACCTTTATCTCGTTTTTACCATCGCACCGCCCGCCACCGGAGTAGAGTTCATCCATACTACCTGGAGCCATCCACAGTGCGTTTCCAGAGGTATTTTTTGCCACGTACCATCCGGCTATGGGATGAGCTCCCCTCCACGGTGTTTCCCGAGCGCTATGACATGTCCTTCTTTAAACGAGGCTTGTGGAGAGTATTAAGCGGTAGGCAGCGGCTTGGCTCTGCCCCTGGCATTGCAGAAGTCCATGGGCGACGGTAACCACTCACCATCAGGTGGGCCGTATCCTCGTCTGCCTGCAAGAACAATAAAAAAAAATACCCTAAGGGACTGAACGAGCTGACGGATGTCATTAACAATGCCTGTGCCTACGGTGTTTAACAAGGTTAGCTTTTAAATTATGAATGACGTGGCCGGCAAGGTGTATCAACATCATGTTACTTTGTGAGCCAATTAAATTCTCATAGCTTTTATAATTTCACTACAGCGCGTTTATTCTAAGGGCTTGACCCGACCCTATAAACAAAGAGGACTGTGTTTCAGGAATTGGCTTTGTTCTTTGGGTACGGTACGAATTTTTCTATAGTCAATAAGACATATCGGTAGATTAGTACCTTCTAGGTGATAAATTTAATCATATCTACTCAAGAATTTTACAGGTGCTAGGACCTCTTGTGAGTCCGCACGGGTAGGTACCACCACCCTGCCTGTTTCTGCCGTGAAGCAGTAATGCGTTTTGGTTTGAAGGGTGGGGCAGCCGTTGTAACTATACTGAGATCTTAGAACTTATATCTCAAGGTGGATGGCCCATTTACGTTGTAGATGTCAACGGGTTCCAGTAACCACTTAACACCAGCTGTGAGCTCGTCCACCCATCTAAAGAATAAATAAATAAATAAAGAATAATTGTCGGGAGAGTCTTCTTCTTCAAATAAGGTTTGAAATTTTTCTGCAAAGGGCGACATTGGTTCGGTCGCGTCTGTTTTTTTGCCGATAGAAAAGCGCACTAATGCTTTCAATGACTTGACATCGCCTGTACCAGACGTTTGTAGGATTGAATTTTTTTCATTGCCCTTTTAGGCAGACGAGCATACGGTCCACCTGCCGGTGAGTGGTTACCGTCGCCCATGGACTTCAGCAATGCCAGGGGCAGAGCCAGGCCGCTGCCTACCGTTGAGTACCGTTGAATTACGCGATAGAGTAATCCACGAGCATTTAAAACAGCTTCCGTGATTAAAACGTCTGACTAACAAAATGTATTTACCACATACTTTTCAAACCGAAAATAGTCTTACGTACACGCATCGTAGAAGTCGAACGATGCATCCGTAGTCTGAACGCTCTCCAAAATTATCCGACAATTTATATTATTTTCGTAATTAAAGTCACCGGATTCTTAGTATTCACAAGCTTTATTTCGAGCTTCTGTTTAAAAAAAAAAAAAAAAAAACACGCGGCGTAAACAGCGCTACGTCTGTTTTACGGTGTTTTATTTACGTGTTACAGGTCGTGTACGACGAGATAAAGTACCCTACGTAACGTATCTAAAAGTTGAAACTATATTTAGTTGGTTCATTAGTCCGTAATATGTTAATACGACAGATTCTTCTTCTTCTTCTTAGCGTATTTTCGATCTAGTGCCAATCCTTACTGGTGGTAGGACCTCTTGTGAGTCCGCGCGGGTAGGTACCAACACCCTGCCTATTTCTGCCGTGAAGCAGAAATGCGTTTCGGTTTGAAGGGCGGGGCAGCCGTTGTAACTATACTGAGACCTTAGAACTGATATCTCAAGGTGGGTGGCGCATTTACGTTGTAGATGTCTATGGGCTTCAGTAACCACTT